CTGCCCACATAGTTTGCTGCTCCTGGACATGGCCCATGGAGCACATGGTCCTTGGCAGCCCAGAAGTTGGATAGCCCTGATCTATACTGTGCTTTAAAAGATCTTTAAAAAATGCAGCGCGCAGCGGCAGGAGCTGCTTCCCAGGATGAGCTGCTGCTCCATCCCCCCACCCACCCTGCCCTGGTTGGGCAACACTTGCCCCAGTCCTATTCCCACATCTCCCTCACTGTGGGGGCCCTTCCCTTCCCCCTCTCCTCTTCCACCACACTAGACTCACCAGCTGCATGTAGCTCTTCAAGCTGCTGGGCTGGTATTGGAAATTGGATTGATACTGGCCAATATGCCTCCTTAAAAATCAGCTATCAGTATCGGCCCCAAAAATCTCTTTTGGTGCACCCCTACTAACTAATGGTGTGGCTCTTCCCCGCTTTTGCGCACACTTAATTTTATGAACCTGACTTAGTCCTACTGAAGTCAACAAACCTAAGCTGCACACACAAGTCTTGGCTGGTTTGAGACCTAGTATTTTTAAATTTGTGCTGTGTATTGTTTTTGTAATCCAGGAGCATGCAGCCATAAAACCACTGATCACCTGTGCAAATTGCTACTCGTCTCGTTTTCATCCAATTGCCAGACTTAAGAAACAGGTCTGTCCATTTGCCTGAAGAGTGCGTTTTATAGTCTTTAAAATTTGGTCCAACTGTTGTTGTCTTTTTTTGATTGTTACTTTTCTGAGGCAAATTAAATTTTAACCCATTTAATTGGTTAATTATCTCTTTATGTCTACAGTTCTTTATATATTAAGATTGCTTATGAGTACAGTACTCTTGGTGATTGGGAGACCCATCTTCTCCAGATCACCTTGTAGTTTCAGTTGGTCTTCATGGGTGCATCTACACGTGCAATTTAATTCAAAGCAAAAAAACCTCCTAGGTGCCACATTTGAACATGTGCCTGTAATCAGAGCACGTTATGCCAGGTCGGAGCAGCCCCAGCTGGCATGGGGCCTTCGGGTTCAGCCTGCCAGCCTGGGGCTGCTTCAACCAGTTCAACATGGTGCGGAGAGGGTGGCCAGGGCATGAGGGTGCTCTAGTGTGGAGCTAGCTGGCAGGCAGCCCCCACACTGAAGCACCGTCATCCCCCAGCCAGCCATATCAGCATCTGCCTGTGCATTGCTGCGCACTAAAAAACTCCACTGCAGGGTAGTATTTGTTTGTACAAGTGCTAACCTGTGGTGCAGTTTATTTGTCTACTGCAGTCTAATAGGTCTGTATGTGTAGATGCAGAGACATTTACTACAGAAGTAATTAAGCAGCTCTGCAGCAAATGTCTTGTGTAGACACCCCCTTGGGTATTTGCTATGCTACTAACAAACCTTCAGATAAATGTGTTGATTAACTGTAAGTTATGTTAGTAGCCTCTGATACAAGGCATGAAGCAGTTAACTTCTGTCTTGAGATGGTTTAGTGGATCTGAAGTCTCTGGAAACCCTAGACATTTTGAGTTTAGGTTATGACTAGTAAGAGGTATCACCATATGAAGATCAACTAATGTTTCATCTTTGTGACAGAAGCTGCTCCTCAGTTTCTTCAGAGTTCTTAGCTGATTAGTTTGGAAACAAGTCTGAGAACTTCATTAAATCTGGTCAGTAGTAGTTCCTGACTTCATTGCACCTTATAAATTAATGAGGATGTGAATTGCAGCCTTATCGTACTGATTTAATATTTACATAGCTCGGGAGAAGAAAGAAATAGCAAATCCTTTGTTCTGCATAATTTTATGTTTTTTCGCTCTTGTCTTGAATATTCATGCCTTAATTGTGAGAACTGAACTGCTGACTGACCAGAATGACAGTGGAGAAGTTACTGTAAAAAAGCCCTCTAAAATTTGATGGCTGTTTCAAGATATTTTACATGAAGGTATCCTGTGAAAAAATGCCCCTTTGTTAATATGTCATTTTACATTTTTGTGTTTGTTTTTTTTTTAAAGGTGCTGAAGTGTATGAAAAGCATTAACTCCTGGTCTGAGCTTCCTGTAGTGTCTGAGGAGCAAATTCAAGCAATTACAGGGTATACCTGATACTTTAAAATAGTAGTAGTATAAAACCGTATTTTTTGTAAGGGCCTTTGTGTACCCCATACCAGCTGCACACTAAATTTTGAAGCAAGGCTTCCTGTACCCTGAATTAGCCTGGCATTCTCTAGCAACAGCTTTTAAGTTAAGAATGGGAGTAATTATTGAATTAAAACTTTAAAAGGAATAGTCCCATTTTTTTAGTGGCCACAGGTTAGTAGCCTGGCTCTTGGGGATCTGTCTAACCTAGTGTTTATCTCAAATTTATTGGTTGCTAATTAAGTTTAGGGAACACCTTTTCGGAATGGCAGGTGCATATACAAATCACTGGAGATTATCTTAATAATTGAGTTTGCTTAATTTTTAAAACGCTGATTTTTTTTTTTTTTTTTCCATATTCTTGTCCTTGGGTAAGACACTCACTCCTGCATTCCTGTAATAGCTGGTCCTGGATCTGGGCACGAAATTTCCTTTCCTTTGAAAATTCTTTGTAACATCACTTCAGAGGTAGATGATATTGTAGCAGAAAGAGTGAGAATGGTAGTAATTTTACTATTTTTGTAGACCTTATTAACTCTTCTACTTAAACTTACAGTATCATGATGAAAAAGCATTTTATATTTGCAGAACTTATGTAAACTACTACAGAACAGAAGCCATGTTAGAAATGGGGAAAGGTAAATAGGAGTCATTACAGCTCTGGTGAAACAATTTTGGGAAAATGACCAACAATGGCTTTTTTGAGAACAGTGCTTGGGGACAGGGATGTCAGGAACCAGAGAAATTAAGAAATTAGAAAGAGTTTTACATTAATTTTGGGTGAGAAATGATGAATCGTGCTAGACAAGGCATTTTAATAGGTCATTTCAAGGTTAATTTTGGTAACATTGACAAGATGATGGGACTTAACAGTGAGCTGATGTAGAGAGAGACCAGAGAAGTATAAAAGGTAAAGTTTTGAGCATTTGAGAACTCAGCATTAATAGAGGAGTTTGACAGAGAATGGGAGGTAGTAGAGAGAGAAGACAAAACAAGCTGTTCCATTTTGAAGGAATAGTTTCAGTGTATGGAATATGTGAGCAAGCCTGGTGAGTGGAGAAGGAAGACTAAAGTATTTGGTGTAAAAAAATGAGCTGAAACTATGCATCTTGATAAGATCACCTGATGTAATATGGAATATTATGTAAACAAAGGAGGAAACTGAGCACAAGCGCTTGAGGGTTGCCATCAAATTAGTGGCTCACTTCATTATCTCTCCAAATAGACATAGAAGGAGATGTGAGGAAAGTAAGGGACCACAGGAGAGCAAAGAGAAAGAGACGCAGTCAGGGTGATGGGCTGAGATCATCAGCTGTGAAAACAAAAGATTCATTCTTTTTGGAAGAGCTTAAGTATGTATAATGATTTGGAACCTTACCACCACACTACATGGAGAGATTGAGAAATATTGTGATTTGACAATGAAAAGGTCATTAATAATTTCAAAGACGACCATTTTGGTGCAGTAGAGGGGACAAAAATAGTTATACAGGAATCCAAGAACATGGTACATCAGAATTGAGGCTATTTAGTCTTAGTGTTTGGTATGCTTTAGGATTCTAGAGAAGAAAATAAGGAGTTGATTATTATAGAGTATGGGGAGGCTGCTTTTCTAGATAGAGGACACCAAAATGTGCATGACATTGTGGAAAAGGAACTGAAGATTTAATTGCAGGATGGTAGTAGGCTTTTGAATAAAGTGCTGGCAAGAAATTCAGTTTAACACACACAACGCAAACTAAGGCCACATACAGACATTCGGTTTTGCCTGGAAGAACAGTAACTCTCCCAGGAGAAATCAGAACTCCAAGGATGTTCAGGATTTTTCTCCTGCAGCAAAAATGGCTGTTCTAGGAAAAAAAAAAAACACGTGGGAACAGCTAGGGTTAAATCAGTCCCTGGGAGGACTGTACACATTCCCTTCTGAGGGAAACCACGGCATAGTCCTCAGCATCCCTTGGTGCTTTGTTTCTGCCCTTCCTTTCCCATCTACCAAGAGACAGTGTCACTTGCTGGACTCTGCTCCAGCCAAGCAGGGAGCAGAACATGCCCACTTCACAATCTCACATTGTGCTGCAGGGGGATGCAGGCTGACTTTAAGCAGTCTCAGCCAGGCAGTCAAAGCTGCCGTGTACACTGCTGGCATCGTCTTAAACACACTGAGGAAGTCTACAGAGCATGCTGAGATGTGTGCATGGGGGCCCTCTGGCTGCACCGTGTCAACACTGCAGGCTCTGCTCTTCAGGGGCTCAGCATTTAAATGTCTGTTCGGGTATCTAAGAGTAAGTTTTTTCTACAGGAAAATGAACCTAGATGAATTCTCTCATCATTTGAATGTGTGTGTGTATATATATCGCACTCCGCATACATTGAACACACTATTTTATTCTTATGTAAAATTGTGCAGCTAATTTTGTTCTTTGTTTTTAAGGTGCGGGCGATGCACAGAAATGCAAGAACTAGTTTCTCTGATTACTGAGATTCTCTCTCAGTTGCAGCACCATTTGCCCCCAAGTTGCTACATTTTAGATGATCCATTAAATAATCTCCTAACTGGGGAGTAAGTTTTAATGTTTCTATTGCTCTTGTGCCAACTCCTGAATACAATCTAGTTTTGAGAGTAAGGGGCATGTGGGACAATAATGAGCATTCACTGTAAAAGTGCTTCCTTCAATTGTCTATATAGTATCGTTGTAAGAAGTATCTTGTATATCTTTATGGTATTATCACTAGTTCAGTCAAAAAGTCTTTTGAGATTCCACTAAGAATCCCCTCCAAAATGAAAGGGAGGGGTGAAGAATACTGCTATGATTATGACAATATTTTTGTAATGTGGAAAATTTGTTGGTATTAGAAGTGGGGAAAGTAAAATTGTTACAGATGCACATAATTATTAATCATTAGTACATCATTGTATTATCATGTATTAATATATCATTTATACAATGATTTATCTTAATTTCCTTTAATCTGTTGGGATGATGTATAACATCCTGCACCAGAAGTTTTAGTCCCATCATAGTGGTTGGCACTTCAGTGAAAATGGCTACTACAGTTATGGAGCAACCAGCCTATATTTCATGAGATTTAAATATAAAATCTATCTGCGATTGTGTTGTTTCTGGTAGAGATTTCTGAAGCTGTTAAGTATAACTAATGTAATTTATTTCAGTTCATATTTTTAAAAGTCCCACTCTCTGTAGTTGGTAATATGTCTTTCCTGTTTTGAGCTAGTGACATACAAAGAAAATTTGTATCTTTCTGGGTCTTCAATAGCCATGTTAAAATGAACTGGCAGCTTTAATTGGGTCTGTGGAAGATTTAACTTTTGAATTTGGTATAATGCTAAGTATATTTGACATTTGAGGCAGCCAACAAGGGTGCTAAAGGGGTAAGTGGTTGCATAGTGTTATAAAACAAAATTGTTCTTTGTTCTCATTCACATCAGGCTTACTGCATGTGGGCAGGATAGTGTCTTGAAGATGCCACTCTGCCTTCTGGCTGTCAATCTGTCACTTTCCACAACTATTAAGATGCATCTTGAAGAGCTTCAGTATTTCAGTGCTTTAATACTCTTGATGCTTTAATACTCTTAGGCTGCTTACAGATGTCAAAAAAAAACAAAACAAAAAATGGCACTTACTCTGTACACCCCTGCGCCGAATCCAGCACATGCCCAAAAGAGGTATTGCATTAGTTGGACCTGGCTCACCCAACATCTGTAGAGATCATGTGCTTTCATGGGGCTTTTTTGGTGCTTTTATTTAATAACTGATTGAATAAGGTTTAGATAAAAGCATCAAAAAGCCCTGCTGAAGCACCCAACCTATGCAAATGCTGCAGAGCCAGGTCAAACTAGCATGCTGCTGCTTCCAGTAAAGTGCCTTTTTTAAGCATCTGTAAACAGCCTTAATGTTTTCTGCACTCCACTAGGCACTTGTAGCCACTGTCTGTGGTCAAATATCAGTATTTGGGGGTTTCAGTAAGCCATTTTCTTAAAACAAACTAGTTGAATTAATGAAGTAATGTGACCTATTTAGTACTTACTAATATGCAGAACTCTTTATGTATGCTAAAGCTATCATTTTACTGTGTTAGTGAAGGCCAGTCTAGCATACTATGGATTGTAAACAGTGACTGTTACGACTTTATTTTTAGGCAAGTGAGGTCTAGTCTTCATTTTGCTACTCTATCCAGGGTCTTGTTTCTGTTTCTTAATCTGGTGGGTTTTCTGTGGTAGACCCTAGTTTATCATGAACTGAAATATAAGGGCTAAGAGGCAGCCTTGCCCCTATTCACTAGAGGACAGTACACCTTTTAAACCAGGTTTGTGTGTGTTGGTGTTATTTCTCTGGCATGGGATGGGAACCATCTATCACTGGGAGTTGGAAATGAATTTCCATAATGTAAGAGAGAACACAACCAGCCACTCCTCATACTAAACAAATCTTTGTTTTGGCAGATCATTAGGAAGGGGAGTAAATATGTTTTCCAGAGTATGAGTTACAATACTGTAGCTCCTGCTAGGTAATATGAATGTGAAGTCCATTAATTTATAAATTCGGCTCACAAAAATTGAAACACTAAGGAGTACTTTCCATTTTGCAGATTACTGACTGAGCTTTGTGGTATGCAGATTCGCACCCTGTACTGCCCACGGTCGCTCCTGGAAATATTGGTGGTACTCCGTCAGATAGGTGCACAGTGTCATCAGGTGTCTGAACAAGTTATTGTTTGCACTGAAATGAGATATAAACAATGGGTAAACAAAACACTACATTCTCGACAGAGGCATAACTATCTACGAATGTTAAAAAGGTGAGTTACTTTTTTCTTTTTTGGAGGCGAGAGGTAGTTGCAAATATTACCTTTGTGTGTCCTTTTGTTATTTTTTTTAATAAAAAGTTTATCTTTAGTTAGGTTTGTGTATTATGTGTACGGTTTCCCATAACATTCATGGTATACTAATATTTGAGTGGCACACAAAACTCATGTGGAAATGATTACTGACATTTTTAACATTGTCTGCTGCCTGGCCTTGGAAAATAAAGTTGCGGATAAAAAGGTCATTTAAATGTTTGGTGGCTTTGCAAATTTTTCCCTCTTTAAAAACAAAATCTGTCATTTGAGTTTCATCTAGAGAGGCTATTAGAACTAGGGGTGCATCAATAGACATTTCGGGGGTTGATACCAATATCCTATTTTTAAGGAGGCATATCGGTCAATACCAATCCAATTTCCAATATGCAGCTCTAACTTGAAGAGCGGCATCCAGCTGGTAAGTCTGGTGTGGTAGAAGGGGCGGGGGGGTGGCAGATCAAGGCCCCTGCAGTGAGGGAAGGAATGGGGCTGGGGAAGGTGCTGACAGCCAGGGCAGGGAAGAGCATGGGACAGCCACAAGGGGCTCGTCTGGGGGTTGTGTGGCCCCTGGATGTGCATGGCGCAGGGCAGGCTGCAGCTGTGGGCTGGTGCTGGGGCTGGCACAGGACAGAGGTGCAGCTTGTCGGAGGGGGGCGGCTCGCGCTCCTGCACACGGCTTGTCCAGTGCTCATCTGGCGGTTCCCACCATTCATCCAGGAGGGCATGCGGGAGGGCAGATTGCCCCTGGGAAGCCCAGCCCTCCCCGCCTCATGCAGATCCAGGAACACGTGCTCCGCCCTGCCCCCCGCGCCCTCCCGGATGAGCAGCAGGAGCCGCCAGATGAGCAATTGATGAGCAGTGCGTTGCAGCCTGAGTTGCACCTCTGTCCCACATCCAGCCTGGCCCCTGCCCCAACCCTAGCCCCACTGTGGGGGCCTTGATCTGCCTCCCCATACCCCTCTCTTTTCCCACTCCCCCTCCCCTTCTCCTTCCACCACACCAGACTTACCAGCTGCTTGCCGCACTCCATGCTGCCAGCTCTGCTCCTCACTGCCTACGTGCTGCGCTGTGGCTACACACATGCACAGGCATTTATCAGACAAATTATCAGCCACATCAGGCCAATTTCAGATACAGAACATTTTCCTTATATTGGTGCCGATCCGATATTGGACCGATGTATTGGTACGCCTCTAATTAAAACTTAAGCTTTCACCACCTCCTCACATTTTTGGAAAAATCATTTAATCTTTTGGGACAAAAAGCACTTAAACACATTAAGCCTAAATGCATGGTTATTTCACAGTGCTGCCACAGAGCACAGTGCAGGTGATTTGTGTGCCGTAACTTTAGATTTCCATTCTTTAACATAGTTGGCTTTTTCTAGGTGATTTTTTTTGTCCTTTGAGTTTCTTGGATGTTCAGTGGTTGTCCCTGGAAAAAACTGCTGTATGTAAAAATGTACACGTTAACCTAACAAACTATCATGTACTCTCAACTTTAACTCCATCTTAGTATATTTTTTGTCTGGAAACCCATTTAGCTCATTTTTCTTTATTTTGTAGATTGTTTATACCTATGATCTTGGCTGTATTCTTTCCTAATGAACCTCTCAGACTTTCTCCTTCTCCCACGTTCCCCTTTATACTTTTTAAGGTAAAAAAAGGGGGTATCTGAAGAACAATTTTGTATTTGTAAAATACTAACAGTAAAAAATGTTCCCTATTTCTAGTGTTAAATTTCTGTCTCCTGTGTTACGGCTGATTTTAGTGTTGGTTACTCTGGAACTAAACAACATCCACGCTATTTGTCAGGAGAATCCTTTTGAATATCAGCAGTATCTAAAGTGAGTATATGGTGCTTTCTGTACTAAAATAAGGGAGTAACATAGACTCCTTTCACCCTCCTTTGAATAACTTTGATCCGTTTTATATATCCTTATTGAAGCTAAGATTTAGCATGTGGTTCAACAGATGGTCAACCTTTTACTCCCATGATTGTGGTCATAATTTGAGTGGATGGTAGTACTCACTCAGAGATGTCTGTTTCTAAAACAGTTTAGGTATTTGCATTCTCAAAACTTCTTATTGTCATGCATTCCTTTACAAAATGAATACTAATACATAGTGTAAGATACTAGGGTAAAAAAAGTCATAATTTCCACACCAGTATTTAATGGAGGGCATAGGTATTATGAAATCTTTGGCTGCCAGAGAGGAGTTGTAGGGCAAAAAATGCCACCAAATACTTTTCCATGATACTACATTTTTGTGGGTAATGAGATTTAACTGCAGTTCTGAAAATTATTGCTTCCTGATCTCTTGTGTTGTTTTTGGTTTTTTTTGTTTCTTTGCACCCGTGCTTGCCAGAGAGAGTAGGAAAAATGATGTAGCAATGATCACTGGGTGGTTTAGAGATTTGGAAATTGAGAGGAAGGTAGTAACTCCAAATTGGGCATTGTCAATGTCTATCACACTTAAAAAAAAAAAAAAGTGTCTCTTTATGATTTTTTTCATTTGTTGTAGGTCTTTAAAATCGATCTTGCAGTATACTGAGAACTTAGTGACTTATACAAGCCCAGAGAAAAACAAATGGGATGAAACTGGGCAGCTTACCTACAGAGCCTTGATAAAAATGAAGACATTCAATGAGAGAAAGCTAACATTAATGCAGTTAACTACACAAAAGAAAATGCCTTGAAAATGCTTGGTTTTTAAAGTTATATATGTCTAAATTTAATGAAGTTAAAATTCTTGGGACAAATTTTGGTCCTTTGTCCTGTTTCTCTTATCAAAAAGCCTTTCAAAACAGAATTTGGGATTTTAACATAGAAACACTGTTGCTGGTAATAGAGTTCAGTGATCACTTTTCCTGAAATGGAACATTTTGCCAAGGGCAGCAATGAGGATTGGACTGAAATCTCTCCTAAATGGTTTGAGATGGACTTTTTTAAAGAGTATTATGTGATTTAAAGCTTTTTTTATTTTATTTTTTTACATTGTACTTGAAAATGACTGGGAAGACGATTGGAATGAAAGTTTTGGAAAAAATCTTTGTGTTTGTGGAAAAAAGAATATCATTAGCAAGTGAAATATAAGGACACTGAAATTACCCCAAACACTACCTGTTCTCTCTTATACTTTGGAAAACATAATCAGAAACTCAACACTTGTTAAAACAGTTATGATGGAGAGTGCTTCCTAAAGTTCTGTGGTGCTGTATTAGTATAGAAACAGGAAAACTGTGGTCCCTGTTTTATTTATTTATTGATTTTCTACATTGGAATACAGCTGTACCCAGCACTTTCTTTCAGTGTTCTCAGCTTTAAAATATTAAATATATGCTCACTGTGTACACATTTTTGGTTAGTAGTTTAACATGGGGAAACTAGCAGATACAGTAGAAGAAAAACTATAAATTATCAGCAAGGTAGTGTGATATACAGCAAATCAGAGTACCTGCTGTCTCCTATTCATCTTGATAAAAAAAAATATATTATGTTCCCATGTTGCATACCTTATTCTTTTTGATAACTTCTTATTTTAAGAATTTTTCAGCAGCAATCCCTTATTTACCTCTCCAAAAGAGAATAGAGGGATACGTCAATTTAATCTTCAATCATCCACTAAATTTCACCAATCCTTTTTTT